AGGATAAACCTCCGCTGTACTTCGCAGTTCGAAACCCAGAGTCACCCCCGCGCCACGATGAGGCGGTAGACCATCATGGGGGGAGGGACCGTCGATATCACCATTGTAAATTGGAGCGCATCAATATTTCGAATAAAAATAATTGAATGGTCGAATGCTTCTACTCAATGTCTTTGAACATTGCTCTGAATCGAATGCTATTCGGAATAGAATAACTTTATTCGGGAAATGAGCACTTATTCAATTGGATCCAAAGTCTAGTCATCTCACATTGCTTAACATAGCTAACGTAGCAACTTGGATAAACTGCGCCATCCACTAATACAATTGTTTTTATGCAGTTTTACATTTATTTTCATTTATTTCTACATATAAAATACGTTGTAATAGAACTCACATAACTTTACGCTTGTTTCTTACAGTACTTTGAGGAAAAGTTTTGAGAAGTGTTATCGTACAAATTTTATAGGATGAAATTAGGTAGATGAACCTTCAGACTGTAAGTTTCATTCCGTAAGATGATCAAGTTTAACTGCTGAAGTAAGAAGAAAGAAATGGATCCATTTTATTGCCACAGCAATAAAAACATCAAAATTTACATAAAACCTTTATTTTGATTTTGTCTAAAACGAACATAGTCTTAAGTTTAGCAAACGCCATCGAGTCACAAACCGCATGTACATACAATGAATTGCTACGAATTTTTGATAATACACAAATACTCAAAACCAATTCAGAATCAATTATCTGAGGCAGGTTCGATTGAAAACGAGTGAATAATCTCGCGTAGGTATGGTTGATCCGGTGTTATCTCTATACTTGGGAAATGAGGCTAAATGAAAAGAGATTTATCGTTAAATTCAAATTTTTCGAAGCAATTCGAGCTGGATACTTACATAGTTCACTGCAGCCGTGTATAACTGTGGTTCAATAGCTAAACCTTTGCCCGTACCATACTTTTCATTGCGTTTTCCTATGCACTTCAAATACTTCGAACCATAAAGATGTATAACCGGATAGGATGTGGTTACTTGCATTCTGATACCGGATAGAGGAGAGTACAACCTGAGCATTGCACTGGTCAATTAAAGCCAAAAATCTTAAGAAAGTAAAACCTAACGAGAATTAAAACCTCACGAAAGTAGTCGTGTAGGACGCGGAATATCGCTCAGTATCATATCGTTGTCGATGTCAATGTTATTATCTTTGTCGTACAATGATCCAAGCCATTTGTCCTCAGTAAAGTCGTATTTCGTTCCAATCACAGAGGCAATTTCACCTAAATATAGAGTCGTATAAAACAAAAAAGATGAACAAAAAATAATCAAATATTCCAAATTTGCAGGATTTAAATGGAAATATTTCAAAAGCTAGGTAATTCAAAAGACAAGGAGAAAAATAAAATAGTAAAAATGATATATTACCTGTTGGAAAAGTATTGGAATCGGTGGGAAGGTACTTATCAGCGTCGATTTGAAGGACGTGATCGCGAACGGTTTGCTACAAGAATTTCATTTTGAA